TTCCGACGCCGGGAATCGAACCCGGGCCTCCTGCGTGAAAGGCAGAAATCCTAACCACTAGACCACGTCGGATATATATATACACTATGCTTATTTGTTCAGAACAATAAAAACTTCCATTGTATCAAGGAAAATATCAATTCATTAGATATCTAAACTTACTATTAAAAATTATTCATATATATCGTCAATGATATTAAAAATAACGCTCTGAGTGATCATATTAAATATATAAGATAAATGAGTCTGAAATGAGTATATTATTAATAAATTTTGCAGATTTATGCAGCAGCTCTAACATTGACAATGTATCACTTAAAAGAAACGTTACACAAACCTATTAAATTTCTTCAATCTTTTTTGTAATTAAAAGAGTCTAGTCATATAACTTATCGATTTTTATAAAAAGAAAGAAAGAAAGAAATCAGCTGAATTACAATTTGGATATATCATAATGATGTTAAAATTATTTTCTGATTTTGTAAGTAATATTTTATTTAATATTTTTTTTCAATATTATTTTTGAATAATTAAAAAGTAAGAAAAGTCTTTCGTTTTTAAAATAGTTTAATATTTTAAAGGATCGACAGCATAGTCTAAATGCACATAAGCTATTTCAACTTCAGGCAAATTTTCTAATGATTCTTGTAATGATGCTCCAATATCATGTGCTTGTTTTAATGACATTGTTTCAGGTAAAATAATTTCAACGTCAACTAAAAATTGTGTTCCAAAATGAAATGCTCGTACAGTATCAATTTTTTCTATTAGTTCTGAATGATGTAATGTTAACCATGTTATTTTTTGTAAAAACTCCGGTTCAGCTGCATAACCACTTAAATTTCTAACTTGTGATCGAAGTTGTTTAAGCCAACAAAATATAATATAAAGTGATATAAATATAGCACCACTTGGATCAACTACAACAACTTGTTTTGCTTTTATTGTACCAGAGACCGCTTTTGCAGCTAAAAGAAATTGAAATGAGAATAATGACAATATTTCTTTTTTTATATTCTTCTTACCGACTATACCACAAGCAAGTGCAATTGCATTTGAAAATACATCATTTAAATGATCATTAGCAAGAGCACGCATTGTTGGATTTGCTATTTGAAAACAAAGAAATGATAAAGTAGCTTTGACAACTAAAATAATAAAAATATGATATTCATTATATGGTAAAGAATATTAATATAATCATACCAATTGTAACACACATAACAGTTATAGGTACTGGACCCATATCAATATTAGGTAAACCAGTTGTTCCATTATTCTTAAATGCTTTAACATCACTCATTAATGTTTCGACTGATTCATAAATAACTTGAACAGATGCTGAAATCATAACAACTGATAGAATTACAATGATGATTGGTTCAAGACGAGTACGACCTAAAAATATATTTATATTTATATATGAAATATATAAATTCTTTTTTTACCTCCTGGATAGGTATATTTATCTCGTTTTTTAATTGTATGAACAGCCCAAAGAAGTAAACATGCTGAAGCTGAATCAACAGCTGAATCAACAACTGATGAAATAATTGAAAGTGATTTGGAAAATATAGCTGCTACTATTTTTGCAATTAGTAATGTCTTTAAAATAAAGAAAAAATTTATTTTATATATTATCATATATATATGTATTCTTTTTCTATTCGAAATCAAAAATAAACTTACACAATTACATACTACTGTAGCCTTTACAAGCCAATCAATATGTCGTTTTTGTCTTGCTAATTTAGTATCATCAATTGGTTCATGATCTATATGATGCTTGTGAATTTGTTCCAATGAATCAATTAATTCGTCTTGATCTTTATAAAATTTTCGTACACGACTACTTAATCTGTCATTTCCAGGTCGACTTCCTAATTACAATACAAGCATATTTTTTATATTAATTGTGAATGAACATACCACGTCGTTTACTAAGTATTGATACTAATGCATATGGTTCTGGTTCTGTTTCTCCTTCTAATAATAACAGGAAAAAAATATAAATTATTGATGAAAAATAGTTGATATACCTTCATAAAGTGGCTGATATCCTTTTTGTGGCTTATAGGTGACATTAAGTGCTGTAGGATCACTAATACTTCGTTCAAATGTCGCTTCAGATGATTCTACTTGATCAGAAACTGTAGTTGGTCTATCTGAAACAGTTTCACTAGCTGGTAGACTTGCGTGTCGTGGTTGATCATTTGTTTTAGGTAGAAGTGATTCTGCTGGATTTCTTTTTGAACCACGATATCTTGCACCACCAAAATAACCTTCAGTTTTACTGAACGATTTTGCGGTCAGATACTGATGACCAAGAGAAGCTGCATTCATTTATTACTGAAATAAAATTGTATTTGACTATACGAATAGTCGTTTGATTTTGAATACGTAGATTATAATGACGAATAGTTGTTTTTATTTTTTTATATATAGTAAGATAATGAGCGACAATAAGCTTCTATATGCATGATTGATTTTGAAAACGTGACTGTACAGTATAGAAAAGTACTCTTTGACGATATTCACTATATATAAATGCAATTGTACTAGAAATACTTTTTTTTTTATTCATTTTTTCGATTAATGAGTATACAAATGTTCGTTTAGTATAAAATATAAACGCAATATTTTGGTAGAACAGTAGAGTTAAATTTTAGATAGGATCTCAGATTATTTTTAGATACGTATAGGCGTTAATAAACAAAACTTTTTTTTTTAGCAACTACGCTATACAATATAAGACGGAGATATTTTTATATATTTTATCGAGAAGAAAAAGAAAAATTATTGACTATGATATCAATCTATTTTTAATGATATTAATATGATGTATCCGTATTTGATTGGTATATCGATAAAATGATTTTAGTTTTTTTTTGAATTTTTTTCTGTTAATTATAAATATCATGAAATAAGTTAAATTTAAATTCCAAATAATTTATTTTAATATTCAATTTGAAAAAAATTCTTACAAATAAATCTATTATCTCAATACTCATACATGTATATATATAAAGCTGATATAAATAAAGAACCTAATGTTAACGAAAAAGAAAACAATAAAAATAACTACATTCTATTTTTTAAAATTTTCATTGTAATTTCTTGAATAATTTCCGTAACTTTTTGTCTATGTTCACATCGTGGTAATTTTATTTTCTCACCATTTTTATCTATTTTAACAAGCCATTTTGGATGAACAAGAATATTAAATTTTAAACAGTCATTTTCTTCGTCATCTTTTCCACAATAACCAAATCCACTTGAAAAGATATACATTCCATAATCATCCAATAAACATTGACAAATTTTTGTATATATACGAAATAATTCAACATTATTTAATTGTTTATTTAAACCAAAATCGGCTAATGGTAAAATAACTTTTGTTTCATAATTTGGCATACCAAATATAATTAATGATTCAGGTGATGATCGTCCACCACGACGTATATTCCAATCACGTTGTTTAAAACAACCATCTTTTGTTATGAATAAATCTCCAGCATATATTCCTTTTGTATAACCAAATTCTGATGATTCAAAATTAATCATTAATGAATACATTTGAAACATACGTTGCCAATAAAGTGGTGAATCATTTAAATCAACAGATGATGATGATGTCCACTAAACAAAACAACATTATATTATTTATTTATTTATTCAAAATATAACTTTTCTTTTCTACCTGTTCAATATAACTTCCGTCAATTGTTCCACATAAATTAATTGATGTTGGAAAAAATTTTCCTCCAAGAACAAAACCACAAATAGTATAATCTGCATCAATATCTCCAGAACGTTTTTGTGGTTGAATAAATTCTTCAACAACAGCTATTAATGGTAAATATTCACCGACAATTTTCATTTGAACATATTCACATAAATAATGAATACGTTTATCTTGATTTTCTTCACAATTATACATCAATGAATGTTTTTCAGGACCCATGCATGACCATCCAGCTGCACCATTTGCATCTAATTTAACAAATGCTGAAACATTATATTGATGATATAATTGATCAATAGCTTGAATAACTCCACGAGCAAATAATTCAATATTTTCCGAAGTATTTTTTGTATATATTGAATTACTACCTTCAACTATTTGAATATATTGTTGATAATTATCAATTAATTGTCCATTTGCTGCAACAGCTATTAATATAGGTAAAGAATTGAAACCTTTAGATTTTAAAAATAGATTATGTTTAGCTTTATCATTAATTGGTAAATCAGGTAATGTTAAAAGATTTGAAAAAGATTGTAATTCATTTTGATGAAATTTCGTCATTTCATATGGAAAGACAAATGAATGATGGCAATTTTTTGTTATTTCATATATATGTCTTTTAAGCATATAAACATGATATTCAGGATAATAATCATTTAATGATCTTTGAGCAAATAATTCACATATTTCATTATATTTATAAATATTTTTTTCGAATATATTTATAAGTTCATGTAAATTATGATTAGAATCTTCGTAAAGTATTTCAATTTGAATTGAACGTTGAAGACGATCTTCGACTAATTTTTTTAATTTTAAATATGTTTCCATTTCAACTGGATTGGGTGGTGAATAAACAATTATACGCCCACCATGACGAAAGCCAGCTGATAACCATAAACTTGTTAATAATGACCGATCACAACCACGTAAACCATGAAAGCCAGCACGTTCAGATTCAGGAACAACAAGTCCAAGATCATCCATAAGAATGATTTGATCGGCATTATTAAATGTTAATGCTATACGACGTGCTAATTCAACACGATAACTTAAATCAGCTGGATGATCAGTACCCCAAGCAGCTAAAGCATCTGGACAAAGACCAGGTAAATTCAATTCACGAGATGATGGTTGATTACCACGATGACGAAGATTTGGAGTACATTTAAGAACTGTATTAAGAAGTGTTGTAGCCATGGTTTAATCTGAAGGAAAAATAAACATATAATTTTATCAAAGAAAGATAAATAATCTAGAATACACTAAAGGATAGCTCTCTTTCTATATATATATATATGTGTGTGTGTACATATATATGTCTTTGTTTTCTAAACGAATGAAAGGATGGGTAAATTTATCATTTATTCTTTTGTATAAGTTTTCATTTAGAAAAGAGCTTATATAGGCAATATATCTTTATAATAGTCGATAGAATTAGTTACTACAATTCTAGAAATATTCTTGTGTGAATGATTTATATTAAAAAATTTTCTCATATATTTATTTACTGAATAGAATATTACACGTCATTGACATTATTTATTTTTATATATATATGATTGATTATGTTCATCTTCAACTATTATTCTGTGTACCTGTCATGATCGATCACTATATTGTTTCACGTTTTGACAACCTATTGATAGTAATCATTACTTACTCATATGTTTCGTTATCAGTTCACTTATCAATGATACATAATCCAGATGTTATACTAGTCTGAATTGAACAATGATTTCTTATCACTTGTCGGTTATATGAACAAGAAAAAAATGGTTTCTATCATTTATATTCAAGAAGAGAACATTGTTTGTTCGCTGTGTTAATAGAAACAGCTGGAAAGAAAAGAAAAAGAACGCGAACAGAAGGAAAATCAAATTATCTTTATATAGAAAGATGAGACATTTACAAGGTTAAGAACAAAAATAGAAACTATGCTAGTGTCCTTGAACAGTCATATACTAGATGCAGAATGTATGAATGACATTCTTTTTTAGAAGCAAACTCAGTATTTAGAACATCAGAAATAGTCCTAAAGAAATCGACATTTTAGAATACTGATGCATAATAGCATGTTGATTGTGCTCTAAATATAGAACTTAATCTGAGCATGTTATATAACGAATACGACTATGAAATCCTTGAAAATAATAATCAATTAATTAAATTTTTTTGTCCTTCAATTATTTTCTTTTCCTATTAAATAAATAGATGTTCATATAAAATTAAAATAAAGAAAAATCTCAATATTATCGATTTATCAAACATTATATAAGTTTATATAACATATTTACTTCTCAAGTAAATCATGCAACGTAATTATCTATTTTATAAGCAACCACTTGCAATGAAGATAAGAGCAATTTGATGAGAATACTTTCATATGTTGTATGATTAGAAGTAATTAAAAATATTCGATTATAATATAATAGATATAGTTTACATTAAACTTTCTTTTAATATCGATCGAGGAACTGCCTCGTCAAGGGATATACTTTTAGATGACCTTGTCAAATAAGAAGCATAGAACATTTATTATTAATTTGGTTATTGCTATTTACGAGTTCATTCAAGATATTAAATCAATTCGTTACAATGAAATTAATAGACTGACTTCATACTAATTCAATTGCTCAGTAAAATAACAATCAAATTTAATTTTAAAAAAGTTTATGAAAAAGTGTTCTATTATTTTATATAATCATCATAAATCATTTCATCTGATATAGTTAGTTTTTTGAATCTCTATGTAAAATTTATTCGTGAAAATTAAATAGTTTGCTTTAAAAATAAAAGTGATTAAAATTGAGATTATTTTTCTTGATTAATATTTTTATCTTTTTCTGTACCATCATTTGTAGTAGATTCATTATTTTGTTCTAAAAAGTTCAAATAAAAATTTATTATATATATGTATTTCTATTCTTCTTTTTTTCCTTACTTTCATCAATTGATCGTGATTTACTTGAATTTAATGATGATTTTATTGGTGGTAGTGGTGGTGTTGATCGTCTAATATCACTAACAGATGAATTCATTGTTGTTAGTGGATTTACTACTGAATTATTAAGAATTATTTTATAGAATAGTTCATTAGGAATTTCAATTACCTGATAAAGAAGATACGTCTGTACTTATAATTGGATTTTTCACATTAGTATTTGATTTTTTATTTCCACTAAGATTTGGTCTTGTCAATGGTACATAAGTACGTAAATTAGTCGATGTATCAGTTCCATTATTTGAATTAGTTGATGTATGTGATACTGGTAATAGTGTACGTTGAATATCATATTCTTGTAAATGTGGCAGTTCATTTAATTGTGGAGTAGTTGTTGTTGGAGTAAAACTTTCATTAATCTTAGAAATATAAAAAAATATAAAATATAGAAAAAATAAATTATTTTACATGAAATAATTTCTCATCATCATTCTCAGATGTATCTGAGTTTTGATCATTTCTCGATTCACTTTTCTTATGTGTTTCTTTTTTATTATTTTCTTTTGATTGTCGTTGTTTTTTATTTTCCGTAGATGATTTAACAGTAGCTCTATTTAGTATGAAAAATAAAGAAATAAACAAATTAAATTACTAGATAATCCTTTACCGTCCTTGATATGAATAAATTGGACGAATTAAAAATATACTATTGTCATGTTCAAGATGATCGAATTTATCTGTTAATGTTCGTGCTAATGTTGCGCGATGTTGTCGAATACTTGCAATATGTTCACTAATTTGTCCAGAACGCTAAAATATATAGAAAATATTAGAAGAATTCTTTTTTGGTCTATGCTAAACAAACTTGTTCATAATATGATTCCATTTTTTCCATATTATTTTTTGCTTCATTATCCAATGTTTCATTTTGAATAAGATCTATGAAAATATAAAATAAGATAAAGAAAAATATTTTTCTTAATTTTACTTTTAACTTCCGCTGCTTTTCGATGTTGAATATATCGTTTAACAATATTACTAAATTGTCGACAAGGTAATCTTATATAATCTTCCATGGATTCATTTATATCCTATAGAGTGAAAATAATATTAATCTAATGAATATATATGATGAAATCTTACATTAACTATTTTCTCGGATAGTTTGCCTTTGTCAGCTGCTTGTTTAAGTGTTTGTTCATTACGTTCTACATCTAGACGAGTAAACATAATATTTGGTTGAACAATTCCTTCGCTTTCTTTTTTAGATAAACGTGTTTGAAGACGTATTAATTCTTGTTGAAAATTTTGAATTAATTTTTGTTGTTCAACAATAGTCTGTCCATTGTGTCTAAGAAAATTCAAAAAAATAAAAAGTTTAGTTTTTATTTTGTATTTACATTAATTCTTCTTGATATTTTTTATTATTTTGATTAAATTCTTCTGTTATTTGTTGATATTTCTGATTTAGATCATCGATAGTAGATTCTTTTTCTTGAATAATTGATGATTGCGGATTATTATTCAATGTTGTTGGAGATTGATTTTGTTCATTTTCACGTTGATTTATTGTTGATATTAATGTTGCCATACATGTTTGTAAAACTTTTATTGTATCTTTAAGTGCACGTTCGGAATTATCTACAAAGTCATCTGCCAGATGATTATTGTTATTCGTAGTAGTATCATTAGGTAGTGATGAAGATAATTGCTTAATCATTTCAAGATGATCAGCAAGTGAACTAAATTTATTTTGTTCAAGTAAATTCATAATTGAATGACGAAACTTATAAATTGTTTCATATAAATGAAAAAATGGAACTTTATATTGATCGTTTTGAATAATTTGTGGAGATGATCTAAAATAGAAAGTCATATAAATAATTAAAGAGAAGAAAACAAATTGTTCAATTTATTTTACTTTTCTTTTTGTGCCGATGCAGGTCGAGAATCTCCAAATGATGTTTGTTGTTGTTGATCGTGTTTAATTATAACTAAAAAATAATTAAAAATTGAAATGAATAAATTCATAGAACGAACGATTTTACCTTTTGGATTTTCTATATTAATAGTAGGTTCACTAGGAGTACTACCGTCCAAATGAGAAAATGATAATCGTTTTCTAGTATTACGTTCGGATAAGTCTGTTGGTCTTCTTTCTCTTGTTGATGTTGTTGGTCGAGATAAAGTCACATCAGCTTGTTGTTTAAGATCATCAAGTTCATGTTTTTTTTCTTCTAATAAAGATAAATATCTTTCTCGTAATGATGTACGACTTTTAACTGATGTTCGTCGATAATTTTCTAATGCTTGAATTTCTTCATTAACAAGCTAAATAAAATCAATAAATGAATTTAAAATTGAGAAGAAAAAAGAAACAAGGATTAAAGAATAACCTTTGTAAGTACACGTTCAAGTTCTTCAGCTCGTACAGGTGAACGATTTAAAGATATTGATACTCGTCGCGATTGTGCAGCTGATGTATGATAAGATCGTTCACCGCTAGAAGATTTTTCATGATCTTTATAAGCTGGATTTATTGAATTTGATCGTGTTAATGGACGTGAATGAATTGATGATGTACGTTCATGAAGTTGTGGTGTAACTGCTTTTGATACAGAATTTATATCATCATTAATAGCCACACTTAAACGACGTGACGATGAAGTTGAACGATCTTGTGGAAGTTGATGAAATTGATCAATAGAAGATTTTTTACGTAATAATTCTTGTGTGGCTTTACGTAGTGATGGTGTTGACGGCGATGGTTGTCGTTGTTCAATAGAATCTGATCGTTGAGTTTTACCTGATGGTGGTGTTTTTTGTTGACTTGGTGAACGTTTTAATGTTTGTATAGTTTCAAAAATAGTTGCTTTTGGATCATCAATTGATCCTGCCTTTGATGGCGAATTACCTACACTGGAAAGTTTTTGCCATTGATTTTTTGATGGTGTTGAACGCTAGTTTAATTAGATTATATTCATAAAAGTTGATGAAGAAAAATAAATGTCAATTACTTTTGGATTAGGTGATAAACGATCATTTGTTGGTTCTTCGATAGGATCAGTATGTTCTGGTGGTGTAATATTAGCACCAGTCATATTATTAACAACAACTGAATGACGATGAACAAGTTCAGTTTGGCGAACAACATCTTGTTGATCCTATAAATAGAAGATTTGAAATAAATCGATTGCAATTTAAAAATAAATTACTAATTTTTCTTGTTCAACCATAAATAGTTCTAAATGATTTAATGCATCTTCTGCTGTTTTTTGTGCTTTAATTTGTAGTTTATGAGCATTATCTGCTCTTTCAGCTAATGCTTTTTGTTCCTAAAACGAATTATTATTAAAAATATTTACAGTAAAACAATACTAATTCAACCTCTTGTAAAGTATTATCATCTGGATCAAGACTTAGAAAATAAACAAGTCGTTCCTGTGTTGAGGAAAAAAAATGAAATTATTTGTTTCATAAATAAAATAAATGTTTTCTTTTTTACTTTTTCATATGTGGTTTTATGTTCAACAAATTCTTGTTTTAAAACTTGTACTGTTTCCTTATTTGCTGATTCTTTTGTTTCAAGATCTTTTAATAATTCTCTCACACGATTAACAGCCTATATTAATGATATACATAAATTACATATACATATGTATTTAAACATACAAATTTTCGTAGATTAGTAAACGCTGTTGGTAAATTATCAATCGAAACATTATTTAAATCAACTCCACGTGCTGGTTTAAATAATAAATTAAGATCAGGAGCATTTTCACTTTTATCAGCTAATAATGATTCAAGTAATTGTTGACTACGACGATAGATTTCACCTGGATCTTCTGCACCATTTTGATTTGCTGCTTCTTTTTTCGAACGAAATGATGATCGTCTATTTTTTTCCTATATTCATTAGAGATTATAAACAGATATAAATATAGTTAAGAATGAATTTTACATACACGTGATTTGGATTTTTTTGGCTAAAAAAAAAGAAATTTTTTTAATTTTTAAAATCAAATAAATATAGTTCTTACGCTTTTTGATGGTGCAGGTGGAAGAGCAGCAGGTGCTGCTGGTGTAGCTTTTGTTGATGGTTCAGCAGTAGTTGTAGGAGCTGTTGTTCCTTGAGTTTGTTCTTTACCTAAACGACTTGAAATACTTTCTTTTTCGTATCTACTTTCAGTTTCATCAATGGTTTCCACTATGAAATAATAAATAGAAATTATGTATAAAATAAATAATGTTATTACAATTCATTCTTGATGCATCATCACCATCCTAAAACAAATATCAAACTATGATTAAATTTAGTAAATGATATTCTATTTAGAAGAGATTGGAATAAAAAAATAGATCAAAATACTTGAAAGTTTTCTACACTTTTTTTTTATAGCTGACCTATAAGCCAAATGAAGTTTGGAAAATGCATAGATTCCTTACGATTTTTAATAAAGTGAAAGAAGTAGGGAAATTGTGAAGCCTATCATTTCTTTGTTCATATAAAGGAAGTTTTTAGTTTATTATGGGATTTATTTTAACTTACATCTGTTTCTGATTGACTTGTACCTGATGTAAACCCAGGTAAATCTCCCGCATGATTTCTATATCGATTAACAATATCTTCTAAATCATTATTTCGTCGTTTAAAAGATTTTATTTCTGAATCACGTTTTTTAAGTTCTTCTTGTGTTTTTTTCTAAATAGAAAGTTTGTTTTTTGAAAAGAAAAACAAATATAATTTTCAATATTTGTTTTTTTATACATGGTTATCTTGAGTTGTTTTGATTTCATGACGTATTGTTTCAATATCTTTTTCTAATGTTTGAATTGTTGTATCTTTTGCTACCATTTCTATTCATTCATTTTATATTAATAAAAAAAATAAGGTACTTGAAAAAATTCTTATACCTGTATTGGCCATTTCAAGTTTTGATTGAAGATCAGCTAATTGTTCTTTAGCTTCCTTTGTTACTTGAGCTAATTTCCGTTTTCCTCTATTATTTCAAAATAAAATTTAATAATAAGAAAATAATATGAAATACCTTTCAACCATAACTCTAAAATATAAATAGATAAATAAAATTAAAAGTTTTCTTTTTTTTTCATTTACTTTGTTTGTTTAGTTCCAGTATTTTGTATTAAAAATTGAATTATTTCTTCATTAAGTTCATTGATTCGACTTCCTAATGTTTTAACATGATGATAACAATCTTTGACATCAAATGCTTTAAGTGTCGTTTCAATTTCATCTTGAGGTTCACCAGTATCATCATAATCATTAAATTCAGCAGCACTAAAATTTTGTTTTTGTTCAATAAAAAACTAAATAAAAAAACAAATTAATTCATTTCAATGAGATATTTATAAAAATAAAACCTGTCCAAGTTGTTGTAATAATTTTGTTTTTTCAGTAGCATGTTCTGCTTGTCCAACAATGAAAACCATTAAACGCTGTTTATACTACAATACACAAAACAGCTTAAACAAAAAAAAAAGAAAGAAAAATTATTTTACTCGTTGTTTAGCTAAATTATCACTTAATAAAAATTCTAGTTCTTGAATATCAGCTACATGTTCAACACTATTTATCTCTTCACGGGTCATTCCATTCTGAATTAAAGTTGATTGAAGAGAATATTCATAATTATTCAAAGTCTAAACAAGTTCAAATAGAAATTCTTTTTTTTTTATTATTTTGTTTTTCATACATTGTCAATACGTTTAAGAACTCTGTCAAGTTCTTCCTTGGTATCATCAGCAATACGTTTCGAACGTTCTTTTCGATTCTTTTCAATAACTTCAAAACCTGGATCCGGTTCATCAATATCATTACTATCAAGAATTGATAATTTATCATTTTTGTGACTTCTATTCGTATCATTGGGGTGATAATGGACGACGCCAACCTAAATGAAAAATATTTGTTATTTTTTCTAATCATTTTATTTAATTAAAATAATTTCCTACTCCGTATGGTTGTTGTGTAACATCTTGTAAAAGTTTCAAACGCTGAGGTTTAGTAATTGGTGGAAATCGCTGTTGTTGTCGTTGTTGGAACATGTTGCTGAGCAATATTGATTATGTTAGCTATCTAACAATTGTTATTGTCGACTACCGTTACTCTTTTTTCTTACTCTCTCTCTCTCTCTCTCTCTCTCTCGCTTTCTTATTTTACAGTCTATTCAATAGTATAAAAAATAGCGACCGTGCCTTCCGTTCATAATTTAATACTTTACCGGAATAGAGAATGAGAACGGTATGTGTGTATATGTGTTTTCTCTTGAATTTCTTCAAAGATTTGACGCTCTCACTCAATTACATGTGCACGAACTATAGTCAAATAATAATTCATTCTTTAAAAAAAACGATGAATAATCATAGTGATTTAACAACAAAAAAAGCAGTCTTTTCACTATAATAAGATAAAATTTATATTTGCCATTTAGTCATTTGTGTTCTGTCTACTTGACAATCATTAAAGTCAAAAATAAATTTATGTCATAAAACTATTTCATATTCTTTCCTTTTTTTAATATTTTAATCGATTGTCAAAAGAATTAAACATAAAAGCAAAGCATTTATTATTTGTTTTCAATAAATTTATCAACTATTAAAATAGCATGAATATTAATTTCATTTTCTTTTATTGATATAAAGGAGAGTTGTTTCGATCGTAGATTATAAATACATCTATATGAATAGTATTGAATCTGACCATACTGATGTACTTCAACGTTAATTCAAAACTAAGTATACATATATATATATATCAGATTTCAGTAAAAGAACTCTACATGTTCTTAGTGATTTGAAATTTTTAAAATCAAGTATTTCATTATATTATACAATCTTTACGTATGATGATTTTTTTCTAAAGGATCTTAACAAACTATAAAATACAATAACTTGACAATATAGATAATTCACTTTGTACTTTTAAAAACATAACCTACAAATCTCATTTTGTGATAAAAATAATAGATTTTTTGAGAGAAATTCAATTAGAGAAAATCATCGAAGAAAACAACACTTTTTGTTCTATTTTCAACATAATCTCTCAAGAGAATATTTCTACAAAAGGGCAACAGCAGAATTATTCAAAATGTGACTTGGAAATGAAGCGTTAGAAAACAGAATTTTTTTTAATAATAAACATCGAGAATAAAGTGGTCTGTCATTCTATCAATTACCAACTAACAAAAAGATTTCGTCGATTTAATCAGACACTTTTTTCATCCTTCTTCCTAAAGATTATTTTTGTCTTTTTTTTATCACCTATGATATCAATTTGTTTGAAATTAATTTCATTGCGTAAGTGTAATTATAATACCCTTTCTTTTAGAAAATGGAATTATATAAACAAAACATAAAACTGATAATTAAGGATTTTATTAGATAATAAGAAATTACGTGATTATTACTTTTCGAATGGGTGTAGTAGTTGAAACATTATCTAAATCATGTCGTTAGAGTTTATAGATACTGAACTATTCAGGATGTAGGGGTGGCTGTGAGTATTGATCCAATAAATGAAAGATGACCGCAATTTAAAGAATTATCTTTGTGTGCTCGCATATTTTGGAGTAATTTTGTTTCATTTAATCTATATTTTGGATTAACAAGTACGGTTATTATTGGATTTTTTTGTTTTAAAATAGATTTATAAACTTTGTATGTACTACGAGCTGTTATATGATAATTTAATTTTTCTTCACACAAACGAATATTCATTTAGATCTGATGAGGATAAGAACGAATGATTATTTGATGTTATGCGTCAAAGACTATCTTCATAATCCTCCAATTTTGCAAGAAAGCAAAACAATTTTTGTTTTAGATCTTTAGTATAAATACTAACGAAATTATCTTCATCAATATTACTAAAATCAGTATCACTATGTTCTTCGTCTGCCCATGAAATTAAAAACAAAAAGAATGATTAATATAAATTTAAAAGACAAGACATGTATATATTTATTCTTATTATCTTTTATTTTCATTCTCTGTTGATGAACTTATACTTTTCGAAACTAAATATGACAAAAAAAACATAATATTTAATAAGTTCAATAGATGGTGCATGTGTATCGACTCGGTGTTTGTTCAATGATCGACTTCTGTTATATTTTCGCATTTGTAGCAAAAATACAGTTTTGATTCTGGTTCGCCTGGTAATGGATGGTCACGAACTTGTTTTTCAATGGTTGTGTTACATTTGAGACAATGCAATGAGTGAGCATCAAACGATTGATCTTCATCAACACTGAAATTAAAAACAAAAAGTCTTATTAGAAATAATAAATATAATTTTACCCTTTGATATTTTTAACACTAATCCATGTCGCACAATCCGGCCCGTGAATGGTGCGTTTTATACGGGCTTCGGCAGAGAATTCACAGAATACTGCTTTAGAAATCATCGACCTTAGAAGTGACGAATCTTGAACAGTATCAAGTAATTGAACTTTAACGTTACCAAGTGATACATCTTCATGTCCATCGATATTTTTCATATACTGTAAGAATGCACCAAGTAATCTTATTTACATTATACTTATATTTAACCCATTTTTTGAATTCATTGTAACATAACCTTCGTTTTTATTATACATGAAATAACGATTGGGTGTGGGTGTCAGAGATGGGCAACTCCAACTCGGAGTTGGAGTTAACTCCGGAGTTGACACTTTAATTCCTTGGAGTTGGAGTGGAGTTAGATCAAAATTTTGAAAAACTCGGTGGAGCTGGAGTGGAGTTGTTGTCGATTTGGTGTGGGGTTGGAGTGGAGTTGGAGCAGAATTTTGACAAACTGGATGGAGTTGAAGTGGAGTTGAAGTTGAGTTTTGCAAAAATGGGTGGAGTTGGTTTTCGTGATTTTTTCCAACTCCGATTTAACTCCTGTTGACTTCATTTGTTGAAATAAAGATCTCAAAGTTTTATAGACAAAACATAAATTGATAATCATGTTTTTACTTATTGGTGTCAAATAAAAATGTTTCCTGATAAATCCGTATTTTTTTACAATCGTATTGATAAAAAATCGACTTAATAAATCGGAGTGGAGTTAGAAAGAGTTGGAGTTGGAGTTGAACTGGAGTGGAGTTGGGTAAATTTTGGTGGGGTTGGAGTTTAGTTGGAGTGAAGTTAGGTAAATTTGTATGGAGTTGGAGTTAGATGGAGTTGAAGTGAATTTTTAGAAAATTGGAGTGGAGTTGGAGTGGTGTACCCCCAGAGTTGCCCATCTCTGGTGGGTGTGGGTGTGGGTGCAATGAGCACAACTCTCACACCCACACCCACACCCTCAAGAAAACGACAAGTTTTATTCATTTTGTTCTATTTTCAACATATTTCTTCAAGAGAATATTTTTACAAAAGGGCAACAGCAGAATTATTCAAAGTATGACTTGCAAATGGAGCGTTGAAAAACAGAGATTTATTTTAATAATGAACATCGAGACTAAAGTGGTCTGTCATTCTATAAATTATCAACTAACCAAAAGATTTCGTCGATTTAATCAGACACTTTTTTTCATCCTTCTTCCTACAGATTCTTTTTGTCTTTTTTTGTCACCTATGCAGGGTTTCTAATAGAAATCTAAAACAAAATGTATATGTACATTTAATTTTTCTTAGCCAAGTGTATATGTACATCTTGTTTTCGTGTGCCAAGTGTATCAAAGTGTGTACACTTGACGTTTAATACAAAACAAAAAAGTAAAAAATAGAAGAATATTCGTGCCATTCTTTCGTAGAGTAATTAAATAATCGTAGATGAACAAATACACAATAAATTTGAACACAATTATCTTTCCAAGATACGAATGATGATTTGTATCAAAAAAGGTTACAATGTTTCATTTTTTAGACATAACTTTTGAAATTCATACTGATCTTGAAAATTCTCAGAATTAGAAGCAAAGTGTTGTTTTATTAAACAAAGTGTATTTCGTACACTTTACTTTTTGGGATAAGTGTACCGCAGCGTGTATTTCAAGAGGAGCAAGTGTTCCGTACATTTCGATTATGCTTGGTACACTTGCTATTAGAAACACTGCACCTATGATATCAATTTGTTTGAAATTAATTTCATTGCGAAGGTGTAACCATTAACACACCCAGAGTCAATAAAATACTGATTCATACTCACATTCATCTCTTTTTACTTTCAATAATATAAATTCGATATTGTTTTTCATTTATTTAGCTACAATATGCCTTGTTTCTTTGCCGACATTATCTGTTTTATAAAATTATATATATAATAAGAACATAAAACATATCGACTTTCTAAAATATAACAATTAAGCTGATCAAACTATTTGACAAAAAAGGATGTGAGTGGGAAAAATTGATTTGTTTGAACATATTATTTATACGTTATCATCTGAATACATATGGTTGGGACCAACAAATGATTAATATTCTTCATATCTGTATTTATATTCACTCTTCTTCAATGAAAATATCCACTCAGTTGTATAAATAATGATCTATCTTTTGTCAATCATGGTTCTTTTTCAACAACCGCGATACAATATGACTTCGAGATATTGCTGCACTCATATATTATTTGATGAATGATAATATATTAAGAAATGTAAATGATTAAATAATTTGCTTACATATAAAAAAGTTTTATGATTCGATTCACAAAAGAAAATGTCATTCTGTCTGTATCAATTAATAAAGCTCAGCACTATTGAGATAAACACCATCACTACTCTCTCCACCAGTAACTAAGACTTTTCCATTTGGTAATGTAGATGCCGTAGGATATTCTCGTGCGATACTCATGTTTGTTGTAGTTGTCCAAATACCTGTTGATGGATTGTATAATTCAGCACTATTGAGGACAACACTACCGGTGGTCTGTCCACCAATAACTAATACTAATCCATTTGCTAATGTGACTGCTGTGTGATCATATCGAGCGATATTCATGCTGCCTGTATTTGTCCAAATGCCTGTCATCGGATTGTACAATTCAGTACTATTGAGATAACTAGCACCTGTGAATCCGCCAGCAACTAATACTAATCCATTTGCTAATATGGATGCTGTGTGAAAAGATCGTCCGTTGTTCATGCTTCCTGTATTTGTCCAAGTGCCTAACGTTGGATTATACAATTCAGTACTATTGAGATAACTAGCACCTGTGAATCCACCAGCCACTAATACTAATCCATTTGCTAATGTGACTGTTGTGTGATAAGATCGTCCGTTATTCATGCTTCCTGTATTTGTCCAATTGCCTGTTAATGGATTGTACAATTCAGCACTATTGAGAACATTAATAAGAGTGCTGGATCCACCAGTAACTAATACTAATCCATTTTCTAATATGGATGCTGTGTGTGTTCGTCGTGCGACATTCATGCTTCCTGTGTTTGTCCAAGTGCCTGTTGATGGATTGTACAATTCAGCACTATTGAGAATGTTAAGAAGACTGCTGGATCCACCAGTAACTAATACTAATCCATTTGCTAATGTGGATGCTGTGTGACGTTGTCGTACGACATTCATGTTTCCTGTGATTGCCCAAGTGCTTGATGATAGATTGTACAATTCAGTGTTACTGACATTACCACCGCTGCTGTGTCCACCAGTAACTAATACTAATCCATTTACTAATATGGATGCTGTGTGTGTTCGTCGTGCAACGTTCATACTTCCTGTTATTGTCCATTCTAAATAAGATAGAAAAGTAAGAAAAACGTTTTGCTGCAAAAATAACTTCGAAGCCCTCATGTGCATAATTTGTTAAGCTATTGATGACAGATTAAATGATTTCAAAGCTTCGATAAAGTTCTCTTTATTTTTAAAGTTAAGATATGATTCATTATAAAATGTTAAATCAAATTCATGAAAAATATGCTATACACGACTTCATTAATATCTTTTGAATTCTATCGATGTTGCGAACTGATAAAATTCAAACACTGTCCTACAATTCATTTATGACGAATGTTCATCGAATCTCAGAATTTTAGTAAAAGCCATCCTATATTGTTCAACATAGTAAAAATAAGATGTACTTTCGTCATGCTGGATGGATGGTATATGCATGTAACAGGATATAGGTAAGAATGAATGTGACTGTGAGTAAGAGAATATAATTGTTGGATAGGACAAGAATATTCATTACTTAAATGAATGCAGATCGAATCAAATCATCAAACATTGACCGTACTCAGACTTCTGATAGAAAATGTTCCCTAATATTGTCTATTCAGATGGTAGTCATTCAATAGTGAAAATCAAAACTTTTAGATATCATCACTTCTAGGAATTATCCTTTGAGTCATTACAAATGATTTATCATAGTACTCACTCGGTATTACTGTTGTTGTTGTTGTTGCTGATGATGAAATTGTTGTGAATGTTATTGATGATATTGAATTTGATAACGCTGAGGTTGATGATGATGTTGTTGTTGTTGATGATGATATTGAATTTGATAACATTGAAGTCGATGATGTTGGTGTTGATGTTATAGTGGATTCTGTTTTAGAAAAATCATTTTAGATTGAGACTAAAGTATTGGATAATATTTATCTATTAATTT